TAGGTCGCCGCCTCAGTCAAAAACATTGAAAACAAACAAACACATTCCTTCACCCTGGACCCTCACCGTTACATGCGATTTCTTGCCGTTTTGCTCTCAACCGAGCGATGACGGAGCGCGAGCTGCGCATAGTCTGCCGCTGCTGCCAGATGGTTTGGACTTTTTACAAGGCGAACATCGAGAGAACAAATAAAGCAAGAAGCAGAGCTGCCACTGTGAGCATCAGTAGACGATTCAAGAGAGGGTGCGACCATATGTGGGAATTAGATGGAATTAGAAGGAAAGAATTCTGACAGGATAACCTCAAAACCCACTCAACTCAAACTCCGGCGAAAGCTCAACCCACCGTAGCCTGCGGCGAAGCAAACACTACACTCCCCAAATGACTTGCGCCGAACACTCTATATAGAATGTCTATAGGAGTCCTTCTTGGAAGCTACGGATTTCCTGGGGCTTTCAAGTGCAATTTGCGTAGTTTTGCTGGTTGACGCGCTTCGTTGCATCTCAAACTCAAACTATAGAGTATATAAAATACAAACTAACAGGCCACACACATTCCACATTTCAACATCTCTCGAGTATGACCACTGGCTGCCGGTGCCATAGCTTTACCGTTTAGCTCTGGCTTTCTGCCATGGGGGCGCCTCAGCACATTCATCTGGTCATCGGGGTCAGATGCCGCCAGGACCAAAAGTATTCGGGCCTCACTTCGCTTGAGGGGCTGGGCACTCTTCGCAAAGGAATATCCCCTAGGGCTCCAACCAGCTCCTGAGAAGGTGGTTGGGGTAGGTTTGGGGGGGTCTAACTGTCTAACCACCTTCTGAGGATATAGTTGGAGCCCTGGGGATCACAAACACCATCTTCAACAAACGCCCCCACGAAGCCATCAAGGTGTGGTGTCAATCATCGTTGTGGATGAAAGGTGAAGTTCGAGGGGCTGCCAGGTAGATCATAGCATCTCCCTATTGGTGGTTCACTTGAGAATATCCCCTCCATTAAAAGCCAACAAATGGTAACTGTGGTCACATGGGGGAGGAAACCCCCAACAAGTCGTCCAAGAAGGCGCTGCCGATGTGGAAAAAATGCAGGACGTGCGTGTGCCGATGAAGGACGTGCGGAATCCGAGACGCCAAAATACAGCTGCGAGCTTTCGTGTCTATTTGCCACGGTCTTGCGACCAAAGCAAGAAGGAGGATGTTCCCCATGGCCCTCCCCCAATAGACTTATACTTAAAACCTGTATACTTACACTTTTCAGTGGATCCTGTCCCAAATCGAAACGTTCCAAGGGCGCGTTGCACTCACACGAGTGGTCAGCTTTCGGCCACCCTCCCGGTGTCATCCTCGGATCCGATCAGTTTAGAGGGACCCCTGATCGCCCAAAGGGGACTATGGTAGACTGGGTCGGTGGTTCAAACCTGTCAGGGGGTCAGAACGCCTGGGAGGTCTTCCAAGTTCAGCTACACATCCATTTCGCAAACAATCCTTGTATGGAGTATTTACATACATTGGGGTGGTTGAAAAGGGGTTACTGTTATAGTAAATATGCCAGTCCCATGCAGTGTTCTTGCTTCGGAGTCTCTGCCCAGACCTCTCCCACACACACACACACATACACACACACACACACCCGTACACCGCGACGTTTCGTTCAGTGTTCTGCTGGGTTCGCCCGTCACTGCGGCGGCGCAGGAGTTGATAGACCCCCGTGCAGTCCTGCTTGAAGAAGTCAGTTTTTGCAGGAGCCACAAAGGGGTGGTTTTTAGTCCTTAAGTGAGTGGATGTTCTGGGCACCCCTATCCTCCAACAGGCACCCCGTCTTGTGACTCCTGCTTGCTGGGTTTTCTCATGTTTTCTGAGTTCGGATGGTCCGGCGGACTGGTGAAGGAGCAAAAGAAAGAAGTAGGCGCTAAGTAGGCTACTAAAATTTGAGACACCTGGACCTGTTGTGTTCTAACACGTCATAATCGAGTTGGTACACTAAATGCTGTGCTGCTTCGTTATATATATATATATAGTCTTGGGAGTTGCTCGTTCTTGCACGGTCTTCTTGCACAACAGGTTGATGTTTGCAGGACGTGGTCATGTTGGTGCTCAGGTTGGACATGGCAAGGTGCTTCTCCGGTCCCATGGCAAAGGCAGTTGGTGCTATGCGCCCTCTTCCGGTCTCAAGCCCCCCCCCCCGCTCCTGCACGCCGCCGTCCGTCACGTACATCAAGCTTGGCCCCTTGGCATTACATTGGCTCTTCAAGAATTGAAGAGCATGATGAAGATATGGAGACCAAGCGATTTTTCATGCTGCCAACAGTGGATGAAGAAGGTTTAGATTGACTCCGGAAGAAAGGAAACATCGGTGAAAGTTGGTGGGTGGCAGGGATATCCATGTAGCTTCGCCCCCTAACAGTGGAATCTGTCCTATAATATGTGGCAGTTACGTATATATAATTGAAAGTTGGGGCTGCTTTGCAATGGGCTAGACGGTTTCCCAAGTGCTTCAACTTCTGTTAGACAACTTAAGGTGGGTAGGGCTCCAAGGCAGGAGCAAAGCCAATCCCGCAGCCCTGGTGGGTGCGGATGATAATTAGTCTCTCTTCGTCCCTCTCTCATCTATATATCTATAGATATCTACCAGCACCCTCCAACAAGTCTCCTCCGGTAGCTTTTGCAGACTTAAAAGTCGCAGGTGGTGACCTGTTGGAGAGTGCTGGTATAGATATTCTTCTTCATTCAGCTCGCAGTTTGGCTCCACATCACTTGGCCGTTGACTTGTGCCCATACCTACATCGATCTGTGTTCTTGTCTGACCGATTCAGAAGATGTCCTCCTCCCTTATCAGGAGGCTCTTTGCATCACTTTGGACCAGACCTGTCTCTCCGGTCCGAGATGCCGGGGGTGAAGTGGCTTTGTCAATGGATCGAAGGGATTTGAGGGTCCAACCCCCCTGCGAGTTGGAGGGCCGGAGGACTCTCAGGCTGAAACCACCGCACAACGGTCGCCCACGTCGCGTGCGCGTGCCCGCACAACGGTCGCGTGGAACCCAACCCATCGCCTTCTCCCCCGTGTGGTAGTAGCGCAGTGCCTCGCGACCGTGTCCCGAGACGGGATCCGAAGCGGAAGAGAGCCGGAAGCTGAAAACCGGACCCACTGGCGTTGTATCCCTAGGGCTCCAACTATATCCTCAGAAGGTGGTTAGACCCCCAAACCTACCCCAACCACCCTCAGGAGGTTGGAGCCCTAGAGTATATAGAAGATATGAGAAAATCCTGTTCCAAAGGTCCATTTTCAGTTTCCATGATCAAATTCCCGGCTATACTTCATTCCTTGACGAGCACCAGCACTGAGAGGTCACCAGGTCACCAAGGCACTCATCAGTGAGCTATATGGCTGGAGAGCCTTTTAAGCAGAGTCCGGCTTTGGGAAGACGATTGCAACTTAGCAGTCCAAGCCGTCACAGCCCGCCAAGTCAAGCGATGCAAATGTCTGTGCTAAACATTCCAACACCATCCAACACCAACATATGTACTACACGTGTAGCTCCACATGGCTGTGGATCAAAACGCCCTGGTTACACCTCCGAACATGAACAGAATCAACTAGCAGTGCACTCCTTGATCTCAGAGTCAGGGGAGAGCCCTCCATCGTGCCTGAGCTTGGGAGGTGAACCGACTACCAAACATGGTCATCAATTTACCGAAACGGGCTCCAGGTGTCTGACTCACCTCGAAACCCCTCACTGGCCCCTCACATCCGGTGGTAAAAAGGCGTCGCATGCCCTCGGCACTTTTGGAAACTGCCGAGGAAGTGCTGGCAGCTTCGCTGCTTCGATCACGAAACGGAGACACTATAAACGGGACACACCGAAAAGAAGAACGCCTGGCAAAAGAACGCCATTCTGAAATGTTAACAAACGTTCACGAAGAATTCTAAAAACCATTCGCCCAAATGATCATGCATTGACAAATGTGCAATCTTCAGAAGGAGAGCGTTCCCTGAGCTGAATTAAGCAGGACCACGTGACGACCACGTGACGACCACCTGGGCAACGTCTCATTCCACGGTCCAGGTCGGGCTACCTGCGCCACGGGCCAGGTCAGGTCCTTTGGCTTTCGTTGCCTGCGCCATCCTTGAATACAGCCCAATGGTTGGTGGGATTTGTTACCCAAGGATTTGTTTGGAAACATCTGCACTTACATGGTGGTGGGATGTTGAACATGACACCCCCAAGCAACCGGGCATTTCTCATGTTACCTACACACCTATATGCTCCCAGTGTACACTGCACGGCCAGAAGTGTGACATCATCAGTGGCTGCTCCAATCTGCACCTTTTGTTGACATCCAGTTCTTGGATGCCAAACAAGGGATGGCCATAACAGCTTCGAATCCCGGGAATGGTTGATATCCAGTTCTCGGATGCGGGATGGCCATGCTCTCGCAAGTTCGAACTGCCAAAGGACCCAGGCCAAACAGCACAAGGACCCGGAGACCTTCGACGGCTTCGAAGGCTGACTCCCAAGAGAGCCATTCCGGTTCCGGCATGTGGCAGCTCAAAACTTGCCAGGGATCTGGCATCCTTGCTTTCCATCTGCGCATACGTTTCCGACGTTTCCTGTAAGCCCTAGAATCTCTAAAGGTCAGGATAAGGCTATGGGACAAGCATGGAAGAATCACTTGAAGCTACGGGAAAAGGTACTTGAAGCTACTTGGAAACGATAAATGACTCATGGGCCTTGGTGTGTTGTGAAAAGGGTCACTCACCAGGTGATTTCGAACCCACGAAGGCTTGATTGCTGCCTCCATGCAATGATTGGATGCGTAATAGCATTATATATATATATGTGTGTGTGCTTCATAGACATGTGAGCCGTGAGCCTGAGTATCTACAGCACATGATAATTATATGGTGTGTCATGTGATTGTTCTGGGCAGCCCTTCCATGCTGTGTTGCTCCTGTAAATCTTGCAATCTTGCAGTTCAGATCCCTGCTCCACATTTGCCCTCACTATCCTGATTCAGAACAAGACTCGTTGCTCTGGCTCGCCGGGCGTGCGTAACCTCAAGTAGCAGAAGCAACTGCCTTAACGGTCCCAGTACTTTGAAAGAGAGAAAACCATCTGGGCCATCTGGGTGTGTATGAAAATTGGAAGGTTTGGGACATCGACCAGTCTCCAATTGCTGGGGGGGGTCCCTATAGGCCCTGCAACATCACAAACCCACCTGGCAACCCCACCGACCCGGTGATTCACCGGTGGAAATCCAGCGGTTGAACCAATGTCAGTTCAGGAACTCGAGTCTTGAAATCCATAGGCACCAATTCATTTCCGATGTTCTGCCTGTCCTTAGGGTTTAACCATGTTTAACCTGTAGGAGCCTCTAGGAGCCTCCCGGATGAACCAAAGGGGCGGACCAATCTGAGGTATAGACAGACGACTCAGTGTTTGAGGACCAGCGTGAGACTACTCGTGTAGATTCCGCTGAGAGACGGAAGTCGGAATCCAGCTACAAATCCCTAAACACGAGACTGTTCTTTATCCACCTGACAGAATCTTGGACTCTTGAATGCGATTAGTACCATGTAAAACCCCCAAAAGTACACCCAAATTCTTGAATACTCTTGATTAGTTACTATGTAAAACCCCCAA